GGGTTCAATGGGGGATGGTTCAAATTTTCCTGTCTATTTACATATAAGCCTAAAACATACAGCCAAACAAACTGTACCTGATGATCAACCTGAGATGACCTAAAGAAAAGTACAATCAGCAAGAAGGGCATTACCAAGAAGGCACAGACTTGAATTAAAACCTAAGGAATTTATGGGGCTGGCCCCATGGCTTAGCAGTTGAGGGCACGCACTCAGCTACTGGCGGCCCGGGTTCGGATCCCAGGCGCGCACCGACGTATCGCTTCTCCGGCCATGCTGAGGCCGCATACCACATACAGCAACTAGAAGGATGTGCAGCTATGACATACAACTATCTACTGGGGCTTTGAGTGAAAAAAGGAGGAGGATTGGCAATAGATGTTAGCTCAGAGCCGGTCTTCCTCAGCAAAAAGAGGAGGATTAGCATGGATGTTAGCTCAGGGCTGATCTTCCTCACAAACACACAAAAAAACCCTAAGGAATTTAAGGAAAAGCAGAAAAAGTACAAGGAGGCATTATTAAGAAGTCACAGAACAATTTGGGGGGAATTACTTAGATGTTCCCAACATTCAAAGCAATGGGCATGGATTCTCAAAGTTACTTCAATCTTGGAATAACATCAAATTTCTTTTGGTCCTCCCAAAATAGGTCAACCTTCAGACTTTAGCTGAGAGAAAAACACAACAGGGGCCAACAGTATAATAATTATTTCTCCTCCCTGACCCCAATCACCAGAAAGGCAATCTGCTCTCTGAGGATGTAAACCTGAGGACCAGAATCAGGAGATTTAGATTCTCTTCTTGGTCTGGCTCTCACTGGTCCATCTCAACATTTGACCTCAGCTGTAAAATAAGGGCATTACCTCTAATATTTTATGGTTCTATATTATAATGCTGTTATATAGGAGTGGTACCAAAAAGTATGAGTTCATAGAGCTGCTAAACTCTGTATTGCTCAGACCAACCCAAATGTTCTCTGTTCAATTCTCAGTAACAAATTTAAGTAGGATATTGTAACCATGACATATATACAGAAAAAGAAGACAAGAAGAATGATGATTAGAAACCATAAGACACAAGGTATGACTGACAGAAGTAAAAATGTTTAGCTTAGAAAAGAGAAGATTTAAAGAGAAACTGATAGTCCTTTAAGTACCAAGAGACAGATGTCACAACGATGACTTATTCTGTTTTACATTATAGGACACAACTGACCAATAGGTAAAGATTGCAGCAAAGCATTTGACTCAATAGAAGAACAAAATTTAGGAATTAGGTCTGGGGCCGGCCCGTGGCTTAGCGGTTAAGTGCGTGTGCTCCGATGCTGGCGGCCCGTGTTCGGAACCCCGGGCGTGCACCAACGCACTGCTTCTCTAGCCGTGCTGAGGCCGCGTCCCACATACAGCAACTAGAAGAATATGCAACTATGACATACAACTATCTACTGGGGCTTTGGGGGAAAAAAAATAAAAAATAAAAATTATAAAAAAAAAAAAAAAACAATAGTATTAAAAAAAAAAAAAAAAAAAGAATTAGGTCTGCAAATATATAGACTCCCTCTGAAATAAACTGCCTCCTTTGTTATTTGATGTCTCAGAACTGAATGAGCAGTTTTCTGGGCTTATTTTAGAGCAGGAGTCAACAAACTTTCTGAAAAGGGATTTGAGGGCCACACATAGTCTCTGTTACATACTCTTCTTGTAGTGTATGTTTTTACAACCCTTAAAAATATAAAAACTATCCTTAGCTTGCAGGCTATACAAAAACAGGTAGTACGTTGGCCCCTGTCCAATAGAAATATGAGTCACGTATGTAATTTAAAATTTTCCAATATCTACATTTTAAAAGGTAAAAAGAAACAGGTGAAGTTAACTTTAACATATTTCATTTAATCCAACATATCCCAAAAATTATCATTTTAACATGTAAACAGAATTACTGAGATCTTTTACCTTTTTTTTAAACTAAGTCTTTGAAATCCAATGTATATTTTACACTTACAGCATATCTCAGTTCAAATTAGTCTCATTTAAGTGCTCATTAGCTACATGTGGCTAGTGGCTATCATACTAGATAGAGTAGTTTCAGAGAAACTTGTGCATTCCATTGAAAAACAGAAGAGATGACCTTTTAATCAATATTTATTTCTAATGATTCAAATCAATGAGAAAAAAATGGAATAGGCAATAAATGACCTTTGGAATGACTGGCATGCAACCAGGAAAAATAAAGCTGGATCCTTTCTTGTGTCTTACTCCAAAATAAATTGCAGACAGAAATGAGTAGTCAATGTAAAAAAGTAAAATAAATTCAAATGGCCAGTAAAGAGGGACAAAAACGCCAAAAAAGGATGTTATTTTAACCATCAGATTGCCAAAGAATGAAAAAGAGTCATTTCTCCAGACCTCAATAAAACTGAGTTTTGTAAATCAGGTACTATTGGTGGGAACATAAATGTGTATGATCTTCCTTAAGGGCAGCTTGGCGTCCTGTATAAGTATGTACTTCACTTTGGGAAGTTCACCCTAAGAGATAATTATAAAAGGGCAAAAAGATGAAGGCACAAGGATATTCACTGAAGCATGATCCATGAGAGCAAACAGCTAAAAGCAACTTAAATGGACTAATTAAACAAAATAAGGTCATTAATGATAATGTAGAAAGATATTGACATGGCTAGCGGGAAAATGCAAGTTTTGTATAACACATATACTGTGATCCCATTTATGTAAAATATAAACTTTCATATAAATGTATATATTCATAAAGAGATATCAGAAGGATATTTAATAAAATGTATACAGTGATCATTTCTTTTTTTTTTTTGGTGAGGAAGATTGCCCCTGAGCCAGTCTTCCTCTATTTTGTATGTGGGACGCCGCCATAGCATAGTTTGATGAGTGGTGTGTAGGTCCGTGCCCGGGATCCAAACCCACAAACCCCGGGCCACTGAAGTGGAGCATGTGAACTTAACCACTACGCCACTGGGCCAACCTCGATCATTTCTGGTAGAGGTAGATTTGGGATAATTTCCTTTGGACATGACCATATACATATGTCTATCTTAGTTTTTATTTTTTACAATGATCATCTGACACCTTTTATCCCAGAATCATTTTTTTTTTATAATTTTATTTATTTATTTATTTTTCCCCCAAAGCCCCAGGAGATAGTTGTATGTCATAGTTGCACATTCTTCTAGTTGCTGTATGTGGGACACGGCCTCAGCATGGCCGGAGAAGCAGTGCGTCTGTGCGCGCCCGGGATCCGAACCCGGGCCGCCTGCATCGGAGCGCACACACTTAACTGCTAAGCCACGGGGCCGGCCCCCAGAATCATTTTTACAACCTTCTTGACATGATGATTTTTTTTCAATTGGCACTCTTAGAAATATCTTTTATACATGTCATTTTACAGAGTGTGCTACATGCACCACAGTGTCATGAACACATTCGTTCATTGAAACAACACTGTCTTGATTCACTTGTGCCACTAGTACTCTCAGGAACATCTTTTTATACATGTGACTTTACAAGGGCGTATTACATGCAGCACAGTGTGGTGAAATAACACTAGCTGATTCAACAAATTATTAGCACTCTTAGAAACATGTTTTAAACATGAGTCTTTACACAGTGCCATACGTGCACCACAAAGTGGTGAAGACATTCCTTCACTGAAATAATCAGCATGATGATTTTTATCTTTTCTGATTAATCTAAAACTTATTTTTTAACTTTAAAAATTCTTGGAAAGAATTAACAGAAGAATGTTAAAAGTAAACAGCCCTCTAGTTAGTAACTTATTTTCATAGGTTATAAAGAGAGTGAGAAGTATAGGTGACAGACAAACCAATTAAACCAGACATAAAAGGAAGCCACTTGCCTTTCCCAGGTTAAGCTATAATTTGATCCCTGTACAAAGTACAGGAAGGACAAGTATTTTGACTCCATCTTCTTGCAGTGAGTAATGTTACAAAATAATACATATCAAAAAACATTTCTTTAGAGATAAAAGACACCCTTGAAATATATCTACAGAACATAAAACAAGAAGAAAATTTCCTTTTTAACTCAAAACACTCTTCTATATAAATCTAGAAACATACTCAGAGTTAATATCATCAGACAACTTCCCTAGATTCCCCAGAAACAACAAACTATGAACAAAGTAACATATTTTCACGGCTTTATAAATTATCAAAGAAGTCTACCAAAAATAAGGGAAGCAAGCTCATGTGAAGAGTCCTTTACTAGTTTGCCCTCTACCCCTTAACAGGCCAAGTCACTTAAGATACAGATATGGATAAAGGTAATTTCATACAACATCATTCTTCTGCCACTAGGTTTTCCAAGTTTGGGGTTTATAAGATCTATAAAACCACAAGGCTATGGGATACAAATAAAACTTAACTCTAGGGGCCAGCTCGGTGGCTAAGCGGTTAAGTTCACACGCTCTGTTTTGGCGGCCCAGGGTTCGCAGGTTCGGATCCTGGGTGCAGACCTATGCACCGCTTATCAAGCCATGCTGTGGCAGGTATCCCACATATAAAGTAGAGGAAGATGGGCACGGATGTTAGCCCAGGGCCAACCTTCCTCAGCAAAAAGAGGAGGATTAGCAACGGATGTTAGCTCAGGGCTAATCTTCCTCACCAAAAAAAAACCCGACTCTAAATAATCTTTTCCTCTTCCATCACTGACATTCCTCAAAACCCTAGATCTTTTCTCTCAAATAATGTAAAGTTAGCACCAGGTTCATTCACAACAGACACACAGGACCTCACTGTCAATAAAATAGATGCCACGAAACAATCAGTGTGCTCCTGGGGGAATAGTCTCCAGGTGGAAACAGTAAGATACAAAAAGATGATCAACATTAAAATGTTTTCTTAATTGAGAGAAAAAAAGTCAACAGCTATTTCAAGAGTTAAAAGGCTGCCTTTTATTGAATCGTCACGCTAGGAGCAACAGGCAGGCACCAGAGACATTTAATGTGCATTACCTTTAGGAGGAAAATATGACTTGCTTTCAGCTTTGTGAGGCCAGTCTACGACGAGAGGTCCAAACCTGCGAAAGCTGGCAGTGATCTCATCTACAAAACAAAGAAGGAATCTTAGTAAAAGAGAAATAAATATTGCAAACAGAATAGAATAAAACATGTCTTTTTATTTAAAAAATGTTTTGAGAGCTATTTTCTAAAGCATACTTACAGAAGTCAAACCTACTAAGCGAAATACCATTGTTTGGGGAGTACATTTGGTTATTCACTTTCAATCATGCAGAATGTGTTTCTAACTATAATTCATTTCCCTTCACTGCCAATAAATTTGATATAAAGAATTTGGAAGAAAAAATGTGACACTAGCTAAGGTGACCTCTCTGCCAAGGAAAAAGGAGACTCTAAAAATAGGAATGTTCTGTTTTTAGAAAAAAGGCAAAAGTATACAAAATATTTAAAATATGCTTTCATTCATATGAAAAAAATCTCTAAGATCTCTAAGATTATTAATCTTAGATTATTATTATTAATCTAAGTTTATTAGTCTCCAAGATTATTTTAGAAATAGATATGATTCTTTTGGTGAGAAGGGGTAATAAGTAGGTAATTCTATTTGGTGATTAGAAAAAGTTAAAAGCCAATGGTCTCTTTCTCTCACACATACCTACTACACATGCTATACAGAAAATATTTCAAAAGTTATAGCTCAATAAATTTATCTTTTCCTTCTGACTTTTGACTTAAAGCAAAAGGTTATAACTTAGCTCCTCCTCAAGTTTAAGTTGCCATTCCCTCAGCCATGATCAAAACTTTGTCTTAAAGAAAAATCCAATTGATAGATGAGATTAACACTAGTACAAGAATAGTTTGAAGGAAAATGAGTCTCCAGCTATGTACAACTTTAAAGCAGTTAAGTCTAAAATAAAACTATTTTTAGAGACTATTCTTCTCTCATCATGAAAAAAAAGAAAGTTACAATAAATTAGAGAAATGTCATAGCTAGAATAATGCTGGCAAAACAACTCTGCTTTAACAATTTTTTTTTTTTCAGATTGGCCCTGCACTAACATCTGTTGCCAATCTTCCTCTTTTTTCTTTTTTCTCCCCAAAGTCCCAGTACATAGTTGTATATCATAGTTGTAGAGTTGTAGCTCTTCTATATGGGACACCGCCTCAGCATGGCTTGATGAGCAGTGAGTAGGTCCACGCCCAGGATCTGAACCAGTGAACCCCGGGCTGCCAAAGCGGAATGCACAAACTCAACTGCTACGCCACCGGGCCGGCCCCTGCTTTAACAATTATTCTTAGTAGATACAAAGCCTACTAGAACTAGAGATGTTGTTTTTTCCCTTAAATTAACTTTGTCACAGTTTTATTTCATTTGTCCATTCAACAAATATTTATTGACAACCTACTATGTGCTGACTGACTGGCTTTAGGCATAAGTGAAAATTCACTTTTGGACTGGCAGTATCTCAAATATACATCAAGAAAAATTCTAATTAGTCTTCATTCTTTTAAAGGCAAGGGGGGCTTTTCATTAATAGGTATCTATATTAAAATATTAGATAGTATGTGTGACGGACATGAGCAAAAGCTCTGGAATCAGACTGATTTTGAGTTCCAACTGCACCATTAGCTACATAACCGGGACAAATTGTTTCTGTCTGATCCTCACTTTCCTCATCTATAAGATGGAGTTGGTAAGATATGCCTTACCAACTATGGGTATGGATAGCTATTGGGATTAAATGAGATAATGTAATGTGAAGCACTTAGTACAATACTAGGCTTAAAGTAAGAGTTTCATAAATAGTATCTCTCACTATTATTTTAAAATTTATCCCCAAATTAATAACTAGGAAATGGGAAGCTGTTGGGAGACTGCTAAGTATGAACATGTATGAACAGGCGACCTGAAGTGCACAACCCATTACTTCCTCACCTATCAAATATTCTCATCTGCACACTAAGATATGAATGTCCTACAGCTGCCTTGGAGAGGAGAGGCAGATCACACAAAAAACAAACCTGGCCTTTATAAAGTCATTAATGAACGCATAGTACCTTCATCGATATCGGGAGGAAGGCCCCCAACAAACACCTTTCTCGAGTAGCGTTCTACTCGTTCCCCATTTTGACAGCGAGTGGGAGAACTTAAGCCAGATGACAAGGACTGATCGCCATGACTGTCGTCCAGGAAGGCATCTTCAAAGGGAAAGAGAGAAGACCGACCTGAAACAAATGTGGGAGTTTCTAGTTAAAATTATTTTCCTGGACAACAAATGCTTTATTAGGAGCCAAAGTACAGAATGAAGCATACAAAAAAATGTAGCCTGAGCTGTGACTTTTTCAATAGAATGAGCGACTGCAGATTACCAGGTCTAGACAAATTTATAACGTCATTTTTGTGTAAAGGTATGTATAGCACCGAAAAGACTCGATTGATACTAAGGAAGAAGCATCAAAAATTGCAGCTGTTGTTGCTAAAAATTCACTACATTTTACTCATACAGTCCCTATCATTGCTGCTAAAAGTATTCAGCAGTTATTTTTCCTTTCCCCAGGCATTTCTTAAAATAAACGGAAAAGTAATCTTTATTCACAGATTTTTATTTGCTCTTTACGGTGACCTCAGAAGTTTAGTTCTAAAGATCGGCCCTGATAGCTGAGAGAATATTAAACTGATGACAGAGGCTGATAACTTCTCTGATAGCAAGATTATAGATGATCAAGTTTTCCCTGCCATTCCAAGCTATTCCAACCTGGGAATAAACATCTGCAATAATAAATGGTGGGACAAGTAAAGGAAAACATATAAATTAAGATGTGGGAGTACAGATGTAGATGTGCTTATGACATCTTTACCCTACTAATCTAGGCCATATTTTATATCACTCTAAAAAATTATTTTCATAGTTAACTCTATAGCCAAATAAAGTTTGTAGAGCAAAGGCACCTACCCACTCCACACGACTGTAAGATACCAGCAGTTAGTCTGTTAATAAATGTAACACAATGATGCCATCCAGCTTACAAAATAAAATCTAAGTTTAAAAACAAATTTCCTGTTTGAGTCAGTGAGTTCCTGGTAAAACTTTCCGCTAAGTTCCACTCTAAAAAAGAACTGTCTTGAGCACTCTAACTTTTGAAATAAAGAAAAATTCCCCTCCAAAATAAATTCACACACTCTTCAAGAAAAGAATAGTGTCCTCCCCATTTGGTCTATCCTGTCGATATTTCCGAAACCTAGGTTCTGCGTCACTACAGCCAACTCTTTAAAACAGAATATAAATAGCCTTAGAAAAATACTGAACATTTATTTCTTTTACAAAAAAAAAGTTACTAATAACTTTGTTTATTTTATGAACAACCCAGGTGGTGTAAGAAAGGCACTGTTCTGATGTCGGGAGTTAATAAATAAAAGGACCAAAGAATTTTTTGTTTAGCTCTTCCCAGCCGAGCTACAAAGAAACAGAAGAAAATTTGTCACCTCATGTTACCTAGCTTTTTTAGCCTGGCAGGAACAAACAACAGACAGTAAATTCTCATCTCTTGATGTCTGTTTTGATCACTGTAGGTAAAAGAAACAGATCTGCAGCAACTATAGGCAAAATGAGCTTCCCAAAGACACCCAGAGATGTTCTCCTACGGCCGTCAGGTTTGCTTTTCACATAGTCCACACTCAGTGAATTATGTGCCTACTCTGTGACAGGCACATGCCCAAATCAGCATTTCCCATGCAGTGCTCCTATTTCCACCTCTTACCCTCACTACAAGCAACATGAGATGCTCAGAAAACAAAAGCTGCTGGGAGGGGAGGGGGAACTTTCCAAACAATTTTGGAAAATACTGCACACCTTATGCCCTTTCCAGAGATTCACAATCCACATTAGAATACAAAAGGCTGGGAAAAGTTCTGCAGTAAACTAACTTAATACAGCATTACATAGATTTAAGATAAAGGAAACTTTAACATACATAACTCAGTGGAAAACACTAGAAGAAATATTTATCCACATTCCAGGAAGACCAAACAAATAAGATAGTTATTTGGAAGTCCCTGCCAAAGAAATCAGGTCTGATGAGAGAGATAGGCAAGTACATAATCATAAAGTAGAGAGATAAGTATTAAGAGAAGACTTTACCAAGTGACACAACACAAAAGCACAATCTACTGCCCTATGGGATGGTGGAGTCGGGGTCGGGGGGAGACCTTTAATGTGATTTTACAGGAGGGCAATTTTGAGCAGAATCTTGTGGATGGGGGAGTTTTTAAGGTAAAGAATAAGAATCCACAGAGAAAGAACTTTCAAAACAGCTCTTGATCTTTCCCTCCAAACCTGCTCCTCTAGCATTCTCTGCAATCTTAATAAAAATGACTATTATCAATACCCAACTGAATCCAGAAATCTAGGAGTCATCCTTGACATCTCCCTTTCTTTCATACTTCACATCTAATCTCTCTCTCACTAAGTCCTACCAATTCAAGATACAAAATAATTCTTCAATCCATTCAGTTCTCCCCATCTTCAGTCCTAACACCCTGGTCCAGATCACCATCATCTCTCCCCTGAACCAAAAGTCTAATGAGTCTGTACAAAAAGACCGTTTAGTCTACTGATTTCTACCTGATACCCCACAATGCTGCCTCCATAAAATAGCTGGAGTCGCCATTTTCAAATATTAATCTGAACATACCCAAACTCTTCACCCCTATTCTTAAAACCCCTCAATAATTTCCCATTGCCTTTTAGATAAAGTAAAAAAAATCACTGTAAACTGTAAGGCCTCTGCCTACCTCTTCTACATCATAGTGGCTGCCTCTCCCTCTGGTTCACTAACTTCCAATCACACAGACCTCTTCTGAATTTCCTGATTATTCCTTCTTGCCTCAGGCCCTAAGGACAAGGTGTTCCCCCTATCCAAAAGAAACACTCTCTTCCCAACTCCTCAGTTTTCTAGTTAATTCCTACTAATTCTTCAGGCCTCAGCTGACAAGTCATTTCCTCAGGTGGAACTTTCCTGACCTTCTAGATTAGGTTAGATCCTCTTTTCAATCCACTGACAGCACTTTACCTAACACTTTTCCCGTTTACCACTACACTATCATATGGGTTTTTATTTGGTATCTCATTCTCAAATCCCATTAAACTGTAAACTCTATTAGGACAGGGACCAATTTAATCTTGTTCACCACTGTATCTTCATGTCCTAATAAGGGCACATAAAAGATATTTAATAAATGGTAAAAGTGAAGCAGCATCCAGGAAAGGACAACAGTATGTGCAAAGACATGCGCCGTAAGTACACGCTGAAACACAATACATAAGTGTGAGAATGGCAAGAGACGGGACCACATCCTAGAAAATTGAGACCTTTTCTATTGCTTCTATTTGTTCAAGCATTACATTCTACACTCTATATTACAAAACCAATAAGAAATTTCCCCATTTTCCCAATTTAATATTTCATTCTAATACTAGCTTTTTTTGAACTACACTCACTCCTTGGAGACTCTGATATTCCCATCTAATCCATCTTCCAACCTATCAGAATGACTTCTCTCAGATGCCTCTGACCATGTTATTCCCTCTACCCCAAATCCTACAATAGTTACCATCACCTCCACCAGCAATCTGCACCCAGCGAGAGGGCAGATGAGGTGAGAGTCTGAAGAAATCTCCAGATGAGAGATGAGGATGTCTTGAACCAGAGCAGTGAAGAAAGAGAAGAAGCGGATGTTTAAGACATTCTGGAACAAAGAGAACTTTCTTTCTGCACGGCCAACATAACCACGGCTTTCCCAAGAGTATTTTGGCAAAGAAAATAAAAGCAAGAGTTAATTGTAAAAATTTGGACTGTTTTAAAAAATTGGTTATGAGTACTTAAGAAACTTTCCAAGGTTTTAAAACCAAACCTCTGTCTTATTATTAGTATTTAGAGTACCAGAGCCTTCAGTAATAAAGTTGCCCTTGTAAATGAAACCACTAAGAATTCACACATAACGTGATATTTCTCTAACTGTGTGTAAGAACTAAGAATATGGGCTCCTCAGAGCCCAATCTGTAAGATGTACTTAATCTGATGACAATTTTGCAACTAGCTCAGAAATTAGCCACTATGGGGGTTTAAAAAAAAAAAAGGATTATGAGGCACGACTCTTCTAAGAAAAAAACTGCCTAGAAGTCAAGACAGTCAGGTTCCAGCCTAGGGTTTACTTTGTGACCTTGGACAAGACAATTCATTTATCTGAGTCTCATTTACATAATGAGAGATTTAAACTAGATGAATGGTTTTCAAATCTCTGGGGCCAGCAGCATTCCTTTTATTACACAAAAATCTTTTATAAACTCTAATAAACAAATAGATAAAAATACATCTTACTTGGTATTACTATGTGAGTATCTCTTAGGCATCACAAACTTAATGTGTTTATAAATGAACTCTTGACATCTACCTTAAACCTATTCTTTCTCAGTCTCACTTCAGTACATGGCATCACAATTCACCCAACTGCTCAAGCTAGAACCTGAACGTCATTTTTGAGTCTTCCCCCTTATTTACTCTCCACATTCAATTCTTCAATCTAATGCCCTTAAGAAGGTTTGATTCTACCCTCCAGAACATATCTTCCATTTGTTCACTTCTCTCCACCTCCATTGCCATCACTGTATCCTAAAACACCATCAAGTCTTGCCTAGACTACTACCATCATTCCGAACTAGACAACCTACTTCTCTCACTCCACTCCAAACAGTAGCCAGCATGCTCTTTTAAAAACATAAATCTGATCACTTGACCCTGCTTTAAAACACTCATAGATTTCCTCTTGTACTTGGACTAAGTTCAAAATCCTTACCAGGAGCTGAATTCCAGCAAGATCAGATATCCTTCCAACCTCATCTAAATGCACCCTCCTCTCTCTCCCATCAAGCTCAGCCATTCTGGGCTCTATTTACTTCCTCAAACACACAAAGCCCTTTCTTGGCTCAAGCCTCCCTTCCCCTTTAATAACAACTTTATTGAGATATAATTTACATACCACATAACTCATCCATTTAACCCATTAGCAGTCACTTTCCATTTTTTTGAACTCTCTCAACCCTAGGCAACCACTAGTCTACTTTCTGTCTCAATAGATTTGCCTATTCTGGACATTTCATAATAGTGGACTCATACAATATATGATCTTTTGTAACTGCCTTCTTTACTTAGCATAATGTTTTCAAGGTCTATCAATGTTGTAGCATTTATCAGTACTTAGCCTCAAGCCTCTTAAAATAGCTGTCTTCTGATGTCTGGAATTTCCTTTAAAATATTCTAAGGGAAAAAAGGGAGGGAATATTTGAAACAAAATTGGCAAAAATGTTAATAATCATCGCAGCTAAGTGATGGGAATATAGCTCATTAAACTATTCTATTTTTATGTATGTTTGAAAATTTCCACAATAAAAAAATTTATTTAAAGATAGTTGTCTTTCCATCATTTGGGTTTTAGTTTAAATGACATTTCTCCAGAGAAAACCATTCTATTTTAGAGAGAACCTCCCATTTCTCCTGCCTAGTACTTAGCACAACTTTTGAGTATAAAAATATTTGTTTCATTTATTTATTGTCTCTCTCCTACTAGAGTGAACACTCAGTAGGGAGACAGAATACATCTAGAGTCTAGCACAGCTTCTGACCTATAGTAAGCACATGAACACTTAATTAGTGAAATTAGGGTGGACAGCTCATTATTTCTTTAGGCCCCTCCCAGAGCAACTTCTTGCAAAAGTGAAAAACTAGTGATCTTATTCCCCTCATCATCTCCTGTGCTCAAATTTTCCTATTACTGTAAGTAGTAACATTTCATATATTATAACCCTAAACACTCAGAAATTTCTTTAGCTATCCATGTTTCACTCTGGGATCACCCATTCCTTTAGACAAGAAAGCTCACATAACTGGGTTTGAATTAATAGGATGGCATGTTTGTGCCATGGTCTCACTGATACAGCGGGTCTCTCCTCTCTTGCACAGGCTTTTAGCAGAAAGACCCATCCCCAACTTGGTACAGAAGTTTGTTTCACTGGATTTTTAGAACCTTTGTTGTCAAGTCATCCATTAATGTCAATAGATTTTTTATGGATTAAATATACACAGAGGTACATTTTACAATAGTAACTCCAATCCAATAGTAACTCCAATAATTCTTTGTATTTGCTCATTTACATTGTTTAAAAGGATCTTTCATATTTTCCTTGCTGTTCTTTAACTAAGAAATTAAGTTAAACATCAAGAGCACTGGCACAACCAACATGTCTACTTATGGACAAAAGTCTCTCAGAGACCAGAAAAACTCATGTGAAATGAAAAACACAACCAATATTTTAATCAGGTGTGCTGCTAAACGTGTAGGCAAAGATTTCATATGATACTAGTTTCTAACAGGGGCTATAGTTACACAACATATCACAGGTTGTGAAAGCCAGAATACTCCAGAAAGAAATGGTAAGATTCTTGGGTGTCACTTTGATTCCACAAGGGTAATCAACATTTGTCTACTGGAACACATCTCTAAAATAAAAGTGGGTATCCATGGGAAATATAATTGGATATTTAAATACTTTATATACAATCAATATTCATTTTCAAATTCCATTCTTTTACACCTAATTCTTCTTCTACACTACTATTAGTTCAACTATACCACTGGAAGCACTTGGTTTGCCAAAGAGTCTACCCTCCAATACTTGTTTCCCCATCTAAGCCTTCGACTGATGTCCAAGTTCTCTCCTGTTTTCATTACTTGTATCATGAAACCCTCTTTCTAAAGCCTGACATATCTGTGTGTCTAGGAGTCTTATCCTCTGTTTCACAAACCATTCATCAGAGCAGCACAGACCATCTCATTGCCAACTCTCCTCTCCAGCTGGCCCCCACTGCAAACACTCAGGGACATATGCTCCAAGCATCTGGTCATGCCAATCTCACCTCAAAGCTTTCTTTTGAGTTGAGTCACATACCTGGAATGCTTTGCTTCCCACTCCTCTTCCATCATCCAAATAGTTCCTGAAATTCTACCTATTCCAGGAAGCTTTTCCAGGTTTATCAGGAGAGGTGAAAGATTCCACTGGCCTAATTCTTGGTAACAGACCTCAAAACTGTTCCCTTTGCTTCCCTTTGCTTTCTATTCCTAAAATATTTACCAACATGTATACGTAATGCATAGAATATGAGTTACAGCTAAATCTTAATCATAGGTAAAGTAACATACATCAGGAAGTTCACTTTTTATATTTTTTTGGGAAAGTCTAAATTTTGTTTGGAGGAAAGAATTCAAGCATTAATATAATCCTTGATCACACAAATAAACGACATGAGGAAATCTGCCAGTTCGTCAAATTTATGCTATGCGGCATTGGCCCAGATGAGTATATTTCCAGGAATGAGAGTGGATATAAGGTACACTTGCCCCATCCCACATGGCAATGTCACTACATTTGAGGAAGATGACTTTTCTTCCTTTTCAGCTTTGGGAATAGAGGACTAAATGAGAGCATGGAACAAAATTTTTCTGCCTGTTCTTTTCTCATTACAGAAAGTCAACATCAGTCTTTTAGTGCTCTCGCACGCACGCTGTCTCTCTGTCTCTGTCTCTCTCTCACATACACACACACACTTTTCTCATTATCTTCTTCATCTACAACTATCAAAACACAGACTTATAGAAAGCAAGGACCAAGTCATTCTAGGCAGTGTTTAGCTTAGCACTTGATGCAAAGATGATCATGGCTTCTGAAAATGATTAAGTTAAAGCTTAAAAATAGATATGGGGAAGGTAACATGAAAATAGAAAGAGTAATTATTTTTTCAGGAGTTTAGAAACTATAGGTGATATTATATTCTTGATGTTTAGTATTTAATAGACTATAATTTGTAAAAATAAAATATTTAAAAAAATATGATGCCAAACTCTGGTCTCCATAGATATGGAGTGTTACTTCAAAAGAATCCTCATCGATAAGCATTTAATAAGTACTAACTACATGTAGGTCACAGTGTTAGGCACAAGAGAGAACTTTCCCCAAAGAATTTATCTCCAGTTGAAGAAACAGGGCATACAGAAAAGACAGGAAGAATGTAAGACAGTAGGTGCAGAGGAAAACACTGCCTGCAAGGCCACTGGGCAAGGCTTCCTGGGTAAGACTTGAATTAGGCTTGAATGCATGAACTAAGGACAGGCCTTAGATAAGTAAATGAGAGGAAGAGTGGACAGTACTTGCAATGGCCAGACAGTGGAAAAGCACAGGGATTGGTCAGGGGAACGTGAGGTGGGAATAATGGAGATGATGACGCTGGTGAAACAGGACAACCCAGAAGATGGGGATCCCGAATGGAGACGTGGGTGACGTGGACAAAGTGCTGTTTTGGAAAGATGAAACAATAGAAATGGAAGGGGAGGGATGAGGCCTGAGAAACTAGAGCGAAAATATTGACAAGATCTGGTGCCTGATCAGTGCATAAGAAGAGGAGAGGCTAGTCCCTGCTGTCTACCCTCCAGATGGTGTCTATTTTCCATGTAAAATGGTCCATTCCCTATTCCTTCCTGAGAGTGATCAATTTTTTAGCAACATGAAAAAAATGTATATGGTACAAAATTATTTCTAGTAATATTATTTTCTACCCTTGAAATTTAAAAATAATAAGAAAGTTTAAAAAATCTTAAATGGTGTTTATTTCTAGGGTTAAAAAATAATCAACTACACAAACGTTTTTCGTCACTATGAAAACAAAACAGACTATATGATTCCACCATGGAAGAAAGTTTCAGTGGTAACTCAAATACATATTAGGTTCATATTTACTGTGGAATAAATAATAAAATACTATGAATTTAATATTATTATCTTCTCTTCAGGACTCAACTACAAAGTCCGAGACAGCCTGATGAACAGTGAACATCACCCAACAAGCAGCCAAAAGACAAAAGTTCCAGACTTAGCTCTGACTTGAACTTGAGAACACAGTAAGTAAATTACTTCATCTCTCCTAGCTTCTGCAAATGAACACCAAAGCAACTTACATTTATAGAATGCTTTTAGTTTACATAGATAGGTTTTCCTCTCCCATTTTTTATACTATAACTTCACTAACACTCTTGAAGTTGGACAAGATTGATTTTATTACCTCATAATTTACAGACGAGGATATCAGACATAAGTGATAAAGCAGTGATCACAACCTAGGTCTTTGACTCTACTCTTTCCACTACATTAGGCTTACTCTACCTATTTCGTAACATTATTTAAACAAATCATAGATATGGAAATGCTTTAGAAAGGTTACAGCATTACACAAATGAAAGCAATATTATTTTGTTTGAGTGTGACCAGGAAAGAATGCAAGTTTTATGGGGCCTAGAGCCTACACAAGTTGGGGATTCCTCTTTAAGAAAAAACATAAAAATAAGGTAAAGATCTTGGAGGAGGCCCATGAAAGTGAAGGTCCCTGAAACTTAAGCCTAATTTAGCTTCAAGGTAAATCTACCTCTGAATGCAACACAAAAAAATTCACCAGTCAACCTACTAAAATCAAGAATTTCCCTCTAAAACCTAACTTCTGCCTTCTAAGTGGCATGAAAAGAACACAGTGGATACAGGACAAAAAAATATGTATGACTGGCCTTTATTCCCTCAAGATCATTTACAATAAACCACATAACAAAAATTTCCAGGTAGAAATAGTCTTTGCTATGTCTTTATTAGGATTAGAAGAACAAATTACCAACTAACAATGAAAAATAATTATAATGAAAGTGATAAGAGAATTATTTTTCTAAAATAATTAAGCTAGAACATCATACCATACAATAATTACTGTTTTACACACACACAAGTATAAACACACACGCACTCATATTTACTCACAATTTGGCAAGCAAAAAAAATTTACCTCGTCTCCGCCCATAGCTCCTGGCTGCATGTAAACACAGAAGAAAACCATGGGTATTTGTATCAAAATGGTGAATTTAGAAATAAAAAATATTCAACAAGCTTTGTCTACGTATTCTCAGAATTAATTAATCTGGAGATACTGCTCAACTTGACTGCAGACATATATTAAAAAAACCTTTATGAAGTACAAGTTAAATCAAAATCTTAAAGAGAAATTCAACTGGATGTGGCAGCCACTAGAAAAGATACAATGGGTGCTTAAGTTTAACAAGTCTTATAAGGATTTATATTGTGGCCCATTATCTATATCAGATATAGAGAAATAGAGTTCTTATAAATTTTTTCAGATTTATAAATCTTCATTTGTACTACATATTACCATCAGACATTACTTTAAAGAAAAAAACCATTCATTCTAAATAATTAAAAACTGTAGCAAGTGGTGGTGATTCTGAATTTCTACACACCCACCCACCCACCCACCCACACACACACACACACTTCATAAAGAGAGTCCCCTGAAAATTGTATAGAAATTTTACACACAAGTAACTCTTGCTTTACAGAATGCGTTTCTGTAAAATTTTCAGTGAAGTTTCTCTTAGTTTCCCCATTTACTTTCCATACAGTATCATTGATGGGGGAAAAAAATATCTTTTTCATCTAGAATGTGAACTGAAAAAGTAGAAAGGGATTAAGGTACTAGGTAATCCCAGGGCATGCTGAAGAATAGAGTGCTTTGAAAATATTCTTCCCCTTCAAAACTCAAGGCCCACAGAATGCATTGTGACAATGTTTAATAGAGCTAGACTGTGGTATCATACATATGTTGCTAGGAGATCCTGTCATCTAAAAGGATTTTCAAAGTGGAAAGTTTTTCAAATTTGAAACCCCAAATTTTATAAAAATAAATGAGAACTCTAATCCATTTTTTAAAGCACAAAATGTCATAATATTAACTTAAAAGCAAAAAACAAGGATAATTTGGGGTTACATTTACAGTATAAGGTAGTACTAAAAACTATTTCTCTCCTAGGAAAAGAATTCAGACTTTTCAGCTAGAAAGTTGAAATGCCAGTTGGCCAGTCTCATCTTCTACTAGTTTCCACATTTCTTCAGATATCATACTCACCCTCGCCTACATAACTTCGGCCTCTTCACTTTCCCTTTATACAAACATTAAAAAGGATTATCCAGTTCAAGCCCTACTTGCTCCCTAGCTCCTTCCATCACTATAATTCTCAATGAAAAAAATCTCTTCTGAATTTACATAGCAATTACTGTTTATATCACTTACAAAGGGAATGCATTCCAAAAAAAAAAAAATTTTAAGGAACTTTTGCACTTTTCATTATGTGGAACTTGGAATTCATCTCCCCACAGAATGTATAATAAATGGTAGTTAGTTTCCTAGCTTGGCCTCCCAAGAAGTGTATTTCATTTATAATAATATGGGTAAATTAATACTAATGGACAACACTTAAAAAGAGATTAAACAAGTTTTGACATCCTACCACTTATTTCTTTGTTCCTTCCCCCATCCACAATGATGTCATGCTGCCCAATACCCCAACTGCAAAACCTCTATTTAGAGAGGAAATAAAACATGCTGTATTTCAAAATTACTCATTTCTCTTCCAAACAACAAATTTCTGTTCTTTCATTATCTGATTTCTGGCCAGATACTCAATGAAAAAGAGTCTGATTACAATACTAGGTACAAATGAGTCATCAGACCTTAACATCTCTAAAAGATAAATGAGAATGCTGTTCACTCAAGTCTTCAACTGCTAAATATTCAGGTAATAAGAGAACATGAAGTGAATAGACCCAGACAGGCTTGGCGGTGGAGTGGAGCATCCTGAATTGGGGAGAGGGTGAAGAATTGCAAGAGACATACTTGAGAGTTTTAATCAAAGCTTCCTTAAACAGTTCATGATTTTTATAGATTCTTCTCCTTTTCCATTTCTAATCAAAGACAGTAAATTGGTTCATGTCAGCCTGGGGACTCTGATATCATGGTGGCAAGATGACATATGGAAGAGGCAGCCAATTTAAAGAAGTGATCTGAGATGCCTCAAGTTGCTTTCATCACTCATTGTGGCATTTAATTATGTGCTACCTTGGTCCTAATTTCAGTATTTTATCTATGATCCCTATAGTGATTGTTATTACAGCAGCTTAAACTTAATGAGTACTTACTATGCGCCAGGAACAGTTTAAAATGCTTTACATATATTAATATCATTTAATATGTCACAACTTTATGAACTAAGTATTCTTATTAGCCTCATCTTACAGATGAGGGAAATGGGGCACAGAATTAAATATCTTGCCTAAAATCACACAGCTAGGAAGTGGTGGACTTGGAATATAAATCTAAGCACTCTGGCTCCAGAGTGCACACTTCCAACCATCTCACCATACTGTTAAATTTCTAGAGGGCAAGGTCCATATTTTGTACTCCTTTTAATATCCTCTAATGCACCTGGCAGAATGCTCTGTACCAAGCTGGTATTCAACAAATATGGCTTGTTAGATGAGTGTGCAATCAAGGGAGGGAGTAATACATGCCTTGATGACCTTTAGAATGTAGGTCAACTCTGTTGGTGATTAAAAATTTGCTCATATGAGGCCATTTGCAAATAGACTTATTAGAGTCAAACTCTTCCCTAAAGGAGAGGTAATAAAATAGACACCAAGGAGAGAAATTTAGGAGCACAAAAGTAGTGCTTTCCCCTGAGAACAAATATGACTTTTAAACAAAAAGAATATTGAATATATAAACTATACGAGCCACCACAAAACAATCCCACATAGGAAAAAAAGAGAGTAATGTGACTAATTCCATCTAAATAATATATTCTATACTAGTATAAATTTATACTAGAGATAGCAAGATGTGATATACTTTCAAAATCCTATCTACTTCCTCCAAGAACTTTAATTCTTGATTCTCAATCATCATCATCACAGACAAAATTATTCTAGTGTTTCACATGTACTAAACAATTTTAGACCTCATAAAAAATTACATTTAATTTTTAGAAGTAAAAGCAGTGGTACCCTTAGCTAGGGGTATTGACTGGAAGGGAACCTGAGGGGGTTCTGGCATGTTGATACAGTTTTGGTCTTGATCTAGGTACTGGTTATATGGTTGTGTTCAATTTATGATAATACATCAAGCTATACATTTATAATCTGTGCATTGTTTGGTATGTATATTATACTTCAACAAAAAAATAAAACATTACAAATATTTTAGATTGGTTCCCTGGGATGAAAGGTTATAAGATTAATGTAGAAAATCCAAAATGCTAACATTTTTTTAGTCTTTAAAGCATAAACCAGAATAATCCAAAAGTGAGAAAAATTAAAGACCTACTTTCAATCCATGAGAATACATAGAAAAAGGTACATGTACTTTGCAGTGGGATATGACAAAGTTATTATGAAAATAAGCTTACATGATCAATGACTAGTACACTGTGAATGGCACTCTCATGTTAATGGTACGGTGCTTTGTTAGGCATATGAAGAAACACTGTAAAATGGATCATCTGTTACTCTTTATGACTTGGCCTGCACTCAGTTTTAAATGGCTGCACTCATACACGTGATTCCCCAAGGGCATATTATGATCTGATTTTAAAATTTAAAGTAACTCTGCAACTACATGGATTCATCCAAATTTGCTGAAGTTTCTCTAAGCAAAGCAACATCATATACAGATTCCACCATAGAGGCTCAAAAATGAGAGAGAAAGAGACACACACACACACACACACACACAGAGATCTCCATTCTATTGTGGATCAAAGTAGCACGCACCATTTCAGAAACAAGCAGAGTTCCTGGGATGCTGTACTGACGAAAAACAAATGAACAGGATACACATACCTTAGTACGACATTTTACTAAGCAGCTTGGAAATATCTGTCAAGACTGTTAAAAGTCAACTGTAACAACAAATTGTTACTTTCCTTGCAATAAAATCAGTTTCTTAAAAACACCCTGCAAACATTTTTTGAATACCACTTCAGTAGGCAAAATTAAATTCTATTCAAACATCTAACGGTCCCTTTCAGCTTCTATCTAAGTATTAGTCATGTAAAAAATTCTACCTAAGATGGGTTAAGATCTTAAAGTTAGTACGAAAATTTCCCCTTTTCCCTAATTAGATTGTAAATTCTCAAAGAGGAGAAGTGATGGAGTTTATCCCATAAATGCTCCTTCTCAGGGCCGGCCCCGGGGCGTAGTGGTTAAGTGCAAGCCTCCGCTGCTGGCGGCCCAGGTTCGGCACCGAGGCACCGCTTGTCAGGCTATGCTGTGGTGGTGTCCCATATAAAGTGGAGGAAGATGGGCACAGATGTTAGCCCAGGGCCAGTCTTCCTCAGCTAAAAGAGGAGGATTGGCATGGATGTTAGCTCAGGGCTGATCTTCCTCATAAAAAAAAAAAAAATGCTCCTCCTCTATCTTTGTCTTTACAATGGCGGGTAAGATAATTTTAGCCTGGTGATTCTCAATTCTGGCAAATTATAATTGAAAAGATCAATTTATCCATAAACAACATGAACTTAGCAGGTAAAATGATGCTTGAAGGGATGGGATACATTTTCATCTGCTACATTCACATAAAGTATTTGGACATTTTAAAATCCCTTCTTCCTACCCTTCTCTCGTTTTGACTCTTACCCATTTTTTTCAGGAAAATCTTCTTTCCATTCCATTTGCAAGCCTAAAAAGTAACACTAATAACTGACAAGCATAATGCTAGTGTTACTGACATACTTTATAAAGGAGAAGAAATACCATAAAGTAAAATATAATAACCTACTGATATTTTACCATGCTTCAGGCACTATATGCTAAACGCTTAACATATCTATTCTAATTCCCAAAGCAACTATCATAATATATATATATCCAGATGGGCAAACTGAGGCCCAGAGAGAATGACTGGCCTCAGGTTATTCAGCTACTAAACAGCAGAGCTGGGACTGAATCTAGGTCCACATGGCT